GCTCAACAACCCGCCAAACACACACCGAAACTACGACGTTGGTACAACGTTCGAACAAGTTTTAACACCTCCTAACCAGTTATAACAACCAATATAGCACGTTGTAACAACGTTCTAATACGTCATAAACACGTTAAGCCAAGATGTAACAACTATATTACAAGTTGTAACAAGCGGAAAAAAGAGACAGTTTCGGTTTGTGTTTCCAGGGAATGTAGGGCAAAAACAGCTACGCTACTCTATCCTTCTAAGATGTATCTTCTCATCTCAATAAACGTACTTGAACTTGTACTCAGATCAGTTCAGGTGAATGTGGACTTCCAAATATGAACATAATCTTTGAAGCAAAACACTTCATTCTGGGATAATTTAAACCGTGTATTGCAAAATATTTCCAGCATCAACACTTGAAAATTCTTTCAAAACAGAATCATATTGTAAATCAATTATTTCCAGCTGAAGAACATTATTAACTTTGTGTATCATTAACACTGATACGGGTTCTAAAAAATAGAGAAATCTTTCTCAGTGACTTATAGTCAGTAAATATTTTGTAAAACTCCTTACATATATTATAAATCTTACTGCAGGTGTTACTAGATATTAGTGTTCTTAGACACTACACAGATATTATAAATCTGTGTGGGATCTGAGCATAACAAGTCTTGCGGGGATTTCAAGGTTGCAAAGTATGAAAGATTACTCTCACTTTTATCTTCTTTATGTTGAGGTAACATAAGAGTTGTGTGGTATCTACTATGGGAGCAATGTATGCAACCCATTCATTTCCTTTCAGTTCATGCACAACCATTCGTTTCTGTTCCAGAATAAATCTATTTCACGACGTAGTCCATTGATGTCTTTTAGTACAGCTGCCCAAATTAACCACTGACAATCACTGGGATATTGCAATCATTGAAGATTCTCATTTTCTTCCAGAAAACAGTTAAACTGTTTGTATGATTAGACAGTTAAACTTGCACAAGCAATTAAACTGTTTGTGCCTAAGATTCTATCCTTGAATCTTAGCACAGAACCTCACGGTGGAGGTTCACTGCTGTTACTGTCATTATTAATTAACAACGAATAATGTCCATGACATTATTCATTTTTATTATTTTACCACACAACACTTCTCTATGAATAATGCAACACAATTTTTGAAATTCATGGCTGGCTACACAACCAGAAGCTTTTCCTTTTGTAGTCAGTAGCCAAACCAGCTTTCCTGTCAATCGTTCGCGGGGCTCCATCTATAGCCTGCCTCACGGCTTTTGTCCAATCACCTCCTAATTTCTCCAGTGCTTCGACCACACTCATGAAGATATCAGCTGCTGCTGCTGCTGCTGCTGCTGCTGCTGCTGCTCTGCTGCTCTTCCTTTTACTGGTAACAATCCCACAAACTCTGTTACTAGTTACGTACCTTGATGAATATCACGTATAACAATTTCGGGTTGTGCAATGTCAGTTATATCCGACTTTTATCAGTTGGAACAGAAAATGCAGTAAAGAACTTTACTGTGTCTCTGAGTTGGCAATATTTTCTGATCATCCACCGATCCTTTCGACAATTGTATGGCTCAAGAGGTTTATGTTTGTAAAAGCCTTCAGCTTGAGCAATCAACGTTTGAAGCCAATTAACATGCATTTTTTTGACAAACCTCCCATCTGAGACGAGCTTCAAAGACGCAGCTGTTGCATTATAAGCAATCATGCAACTTACCCAACTACAACCCCTGCTTACTTGAGGAAAAAAATTAGTTATTGACTGTTTATTTTTCACTGATTATTATAACTCATTCATTTTATCACTTCGTAATTTACCACTTGTACACTTATCATATTGTCTTGGTTGGCTTCAGAGTGTACTCTGGCAAAACGAAAGTGTACCTTTTGTTTACAAACAAAACAAAAACATTTTTTACTTTCATAACCAAAAAAATAGGTTTCCCACTTCTTTCCCTGCTTTACCCAATGTTCTTCATTAATCATGTTAGCAAAGAAATGACAAATTATGTCAAAAATAAATGGCACTGAACACAGCTTGTGGTGAACACAATGCTTGAACTGCCTTGAACAATTATACGCTCCCTTGGTGGCTAGTATCATTGCACTAGGAAAATTGCATGCCACAGTTCAGAGCTGTCGCGTCTAATACACGTCTTAAACTCATCCTTGTGGCCTAATTAGAACAGTAAAATACTGTATTTTGGATGGAAACAACACATATAAACAAAGTAATTGGCCAATTACTGTATTTTTATGTTCTGTATTTTTAATACAGTACTATGTACTGTATTTTTTCAATTAAATTGGAAGGTGTTCAATGTGGTACTGAAGTAGCGAGTGCGTCGCCGGCCGGATACAGAAGGGTTATGGACCGGATATAGCAGGGCTGTAGGCCGCAGTTGGTAGGTTTGCGGGCCGCATGTGAAGGGGAACTCTTTGAGAGTGATGCTCTGTGAGTGGTACTCTTCCCTCCTGCTCAACTGATGGTATCTAGTTCAACCGTGTACTCCTGCATTGCTTTGAACGCGTACGATGAATTTGCTCCCATTTTGCTATAAGCAAATAATATTGTTTAAGTATAAATAAACCGACATAGTTTTCTCTCTCAACGCACGAGACAGAGAGAGAGAATCTTCGATTCCATATCTAAGATAAACTGTTGTTGCATACCCGTTATATATTATTCCAAAGTTTTCGTGAATAATGCACCATGCTTGGCAGGTAGTTCTCATTACTACAATCTCATTTCCCTGGTTGGCAGCATCTCCCAGGGACGGTTAACTGGTTAACTGGACTTCTCTCCTCGCTCTCTCTCTCTCGCCGGATTATCTCCCCCACAAATTTTCATTACCATCGCTCTCATCCTCTGTGACGAACGAACCTCGTGTTACGATGCTCTCGGTAATCCATTCTGACGTACGAATTTAATTTTCCTGCGCCTCAACCAGCCGGGACTTTTAGGACAAGAATTGAGCACAACAAATTCCGATCTTGTATCAAGATGCAGATGATCAGAGAAGTATTCACTGGGGAGTGCATGGTCAGGGCTCCTCGGAGACTAACACAATTCTTACGTGGATAATAAAAAAGGCAACCGTAAGATCCAGCATCCTCAGCCAACCGTAAGATATCGTACTGCAGCGTTTATAAGATCTATAGATTCTACAATGACCAAATATTGCTTTTGAGAGTGACAATAGATTCTCATTTTCTTGCAAACTTGACGCTAAAAGGTAAAGCTGTTTTAGCTGTAGCAGACCCTTGGGTAATCATAGATTAAATAAGGCGAGAACTCCAGCATGTTTTGGAAACTCGTAAGACTTTGCATGGTGGCCATGCCGGGCGTTTTGAGTGTCCAAGTCACATACGTATAAAGGTTAAAGTCCAGCAGTTATAAAAGTTAAAGTCCTGTTAAAGTCCAGCAGTCTAATGAAGTATTATGAAGAAATATGAAGTCCTGTTAACCCAGCCTGCTTAACAGCCTCATTTACACACTGGTATACACACATTTTGTCTTTATCTTTCATTGATATTTATCGTCTTCGTTCCATCATACTCTTTTACTAGGAAAATATGTATTTAGACGAATATATATATATATATATATATATATATATATATATATATATATATATATATATATATATATATATATATATATATATATATATATAGATACACGAACAAAAATTTGCATTAGAATATAAACCCCAAAACTTTCGAGAAGAGTTAAGCAAAAATGCATATATTAACCTTTACAGCTCGCTAACATCTAACGACGCCATACATACATGAATATGTTATTCATATGTATATGAATAAATGTATACAAAGGGGAGGATGGAAAATTAGAACAGGGGAAAAGGGCGACAGTGAACCACGATGTTAGTGGCATTACATTAGTGGGCCGTGATGCTAGTGGGCATCACTGCCCACTAGTATACTGCCGAGGCATGATATTGTGGGCATTACACCGAGGGAGCTTCGAGGCATCATATTGTAGGCATTACACCGAGAGAGCTTCGAGGCATGATATTGTAAGCATTACACCGAGAGCGCTTCGAGGCATGATATTGTGGGCATTACACCGAGCGAGCTTCGAGGCATGATATTGTAAGCATTACACCGAGGGAGCTTTAAGGCATGATATTGTGGGCATTACACCGAGGGAGCTTTAAGGCATGATATTGTGGGCATTACACCGAGGGAGCTTTAAGGCATGATATTGTGGGCATTACACCGAGGGAGCTTTAAGGCATGATATTGTGGGCATTACACCGAGGGAGCTTTAAGGCATGATATTGTGGGCATTACACCGAGGGAGCTTTAAGGCATGATATTGTGGGCATTATACCAGGACGAGGATCCAGCGAGACATGAACTTCGAGGTTGGATGATGGCAGTTTTACAGCGAAGTCTGTGCCCAGTGCCAACTATAAATCTCTTTATGTTGGTCATTATTTTGTGTCCGGGTCATGCAGGCGTCTCAAGGCTTGACTTTATCCTCGCCTCCTGCGTTAGACGGGTGAGTGTAGACCTCAAGGCTTCATGATTAAAATAATCTGTCAACGTTAAGCCCAGGCTCCTCCGGATTCCTTGAGATAAAATCTGCCGGATGAATTTGATGCTCTTCTTTTATGCAAAATATCACACTCATCAATTCTTGCAATTCTTGCAAGACTTTGCACTCAGAAAATATAAACTTTGAATCAATCCACAATTAAAGAATAGGAAATACGGTTCTGTCATCTTAATATATGTAACCCGGTTTCTATTTGGTGAGAAGAGACTGTAAGAACAGAAGAACATGCGAATTAAGAAAACTGCATAAGGCCTATTTTATTCCTACAAGCAGCTCCGCTTTGTATCTGACCAAACTTATTCAGATGTCTTACCTACGCTTGAGCAAAATCCAGTGTTAAAAATACGAATTAAAAGTTATTAATTAAAATTAGGAAAAAAAGGAGAGTTTTTTGTCAACTGAGGCCTTCATGGTACTACCGACTGAGGTTTACATGGCCCTACCAACTGAAGCTCTCATGGCCCTACCAACTGAGGCTCCCATGGCCCTACCAACTGAGGCTCTCATGGCCCTACCAACTGAGGCTCCCATGGTCCTACCAACTGAGGCTCTCATGGCCCTACCAACTGAGGCTCTCATGGCCCTACCAACTGAGGCTCTCATGGCCCTACCAACTGAGGCTCTCATGGCCCTACCAACTGAGGCTCCCATGGTCCTACCAACTGAGGCTCTCATGGCCCTACCAACTGAGGCTCTCATGGCCCTACCAACTGAGGCTCCCATGGCCCTACCAACTGAGGCTCTCATGGCCCTACCAACTGAGGCTCTCATGGCCCTTCCAACCGAGGCTCTCATAGTCCCACCTTTCAAAAATTAACCTAAAACTCGTTTCCTCCACCAAAATCAACATCAACAAATAACAATCGGGTTTTAACCACAGTCGTAGTTCACAGCAGTATTTACAATTCACGTTTATGATGCTCTATTTCCTAAACTTTATATATTAATACAAACTAATATGTTGTTATTAATCCTGTTTTTTGTTATTTTTACCCGCTGTTGTGAAATTATCATTTTGTTTCTAAAGCAGTTATGTTTAAAGAAAAGTGGTGTTTAGAGCAACGTGATGTTTAAAGCAAGAAACATCTGAAGCAAAGTGACGTCTAAGAAACAAAGTGACGTCTTAAACAAGGTGACGTCTTAAACAAAGTGACGTCTTAATAAAACAAAATGACGTCTATAACAAGGTGACGGCTAAATCAAAGTGACGTTTTATGAAACAAAGTGACGTCTAAGATCAAGAGACGTCTAAAACCAAGCGACGTCTAAAAGTGACGTCTTAAGAAACAAATGGACATCTAAAACCAAGTGACGTCTGAAAAAAGAAATAGTCGTGCAAATTCACAAAATACAACAATTATACAAACTAATACAGTATATAAGACTCTAGAAGTGAGCGAAGCTATAAAATATATTGTCGATTCAATTATACTGTTCACTTGATAGTATTGCGCCATCATAAACCTATTGCTGATGTCGCAATGTTGCATTTAACACTTTATTGAGGGTATATTGCAAATAATAACTAGGGAAAATAAAGTTATTGTAACATTATGAAATATTTTAATGTGAGAGAAACTCGACATGTAAAGATATTCAAGCAACGAGGAACGTATATATGGGACTGTGAATCGACGAGGAACGCATATATGGGACCGTGAATCGACGAGGAACGTATATATATGGGACCGTGAATCGACGAGGAACGCATATATGGGATCGTGAATCGAACGAGGAACTTACGGACTCGCAATGAGAGGACAATCTTGTTGTTAATCGACTTGGAAATACACGTAATGGGAATAATTGCCTTTTGTGTTATCTCTCACCATATCTTTTAATTAATGTGGAACTATTTATGACAGGAAGAAATCTTTACACTATTTTCCTTTTCAATATTTGCGTTTAAATGAGTTGTTGTTTTTTCCGTAATAGGCCCACGAAATTTTCAGAAATATATATATGTGAAAGAAAGTAGTAGATAACTTAAACTTTTTCCTAGAGTTCGTTGCAGGCATCGGTGACAACGGCCCGGTCTCTTGTTAGGCCCTAATTGTTGACGGTTGGATCAAACAAGCTGTTATAGACGCCACTATGCTCAAATCTGTTGCATCTGCTCTGGGATAGACAGCTTTCGTCATTTAGAAATACTCGGCGTGTTGCTGAAACTTGTTTCTAAAAAAAAAAAAAAGTTTTGCAATAAAGCGAGTTTCTGGTCCACTTACGTTTGGAAACTTGGCTGACCGATATTGCACTACAGGTGTCTGGGGTAGTTCTTCAGGAAGTGTTGAGGCATCACATATATAAATACATATAAACACCTTCATATATATATATAAAACACCATATTATATATATATTTATATATAAACACCACTACAACAATACCTCATTTGGTTTGCGTGTATAACCATTATTACACAGCAATAAATAAACGTATATATATATTTTTGCTGTGAAATAGTTAGCATTCTACCGTCAAATCCCCCGCCGCCAGATTCCAACCTTTGACCGTGGGCCTAAATTTCATCATTCAATTCAATTCCCCCCGCGAAAAAAGTTGGGATTAACCTCTGTGGTGTGCAATATAGGCAGTTTTGCACAGCATGGAGGCAGTTGTACACACACACACACACAGTACCAAAATATCACAATACCAAAATGTTGTATTGTTGCGCTTCAAGGGGGGGGGGGTTTAGGTGGGTTTCGTCGTTACATTGTTTGCAGGGAATTGTATCGTTATTGCAGAGGTGTTGCAGAGGAATATATCGGTGTTGTATTGTTGCAAAGAGGCTCTGCTATTGTCACAATGATGTGGCAGGGGTTCAGCAGTTGTTCTAGTGGTGTTGTAAGCGGGAATGGGGGATGTCCTGTCATGGTAACAGCAGTGTTGTAGCGGGTTGACGTACCTTTGCTGTAGCGGGTTGACGTACCTTTGCTGTAGCGGGTTGACGTACCTTTGCCGTAGCGGGTTGACGTACCTTTGCTGTAGCGGGTTGACGTACCTTTGCTGTAGCGGGTTGACGTACCTTTGCTGTAGCGGGTTGACGTACCTTTGCTGTAGCGGGTTGACGTACCTTTGCTGTAGCGGGTTGACGTACCTTTGCTGTAGCGGGTTGACGTACCTTTGCCGTTGCACAGTGGCTGACGCACAGAGGGTTAACAAGAGGATGTGTGTGTGTATCCTTTCCAAAGGATACCTGATCAACCAGGCTGTGACTCATACGTCAGGCTGCGAGCAGCCGCGTCTAACAGCCTTGTTGATTAGCAACCAGGAGGCCTGGTCGACGACCGGGCCGCGGGGACACTAAGCCCCGGAAGCACCTCAAGGTAACCAGAGCGAGGGGTGAAATCAAAAGTGTTGTGAGTACATAGACAACAGCTATTCTCTCTTTTTTATATACTTTTATGTGTTTCTTTTTTAACTTTTTTGTGTAGCTCAGATTTAGCTTTTTTTTCGCCCCCTCCGTTATTTTTCTGTTATATTTATCCCAAATGTGGGATGAAGTGTTTGATAAGCCGTTGTAGTGTCAAGCCGTTGTTGCTGTATCAGGCTATTGTTGTTGTTGTTGCAGTGTCAAGCCGTTGTTGCTGTATCAGGCTATTGTTGTTGTTGTTGTAGTGTCAAGCCGTTGTTGCTGTATCAGGCTATTGTTGTTGTTGTTGTAGTGTCAAGCCGTTGTTGCTGTATCAGGCTATTGTTGTTGCAGTGTCAATCCGTTGTTGCTGTATCAGGCTATTGTTGTTGTTGTTGTAGTGTCAAGCCGTTGTTGCTGTATCAGGCTATTGTTGTTGTTGTTGCAGTGTCAAGCCGTTGTTGCTGTATCAGGCTATTGTTGTTGTTGTTCTAGTGTCAAGCCGTTGTTGCTGTATCAGGCTATTGTTGTTGTTGTAGTGTCAAGCCGTTGCAGGTGCGTCGTATTGCGGACAACAGCTTTCGATTCTCTAAATATTTCCCTTAATCAAAAGTAAAACAAAAAAATTAGATGATTAAAAGTTAATTCTGAAAGTATTTCTGAAATCTGTCGTATCTTAAAGCTCTTCCTCTGGGCCTTCATAACCTTCCTGAGTTGATGGGTCTGGGCCTTTCCCGACCTTACGGCGCTGAGTTACCGCAGGACAACCTACCCAGACATGTTCAACACGCGACTTCCTCACCGTTCCTAAGATGTGTGAGAATCTCTAGCTCCACCAGTCTGTCTCTTTCTCTCTCTCTCTCTCTCTCTCTCTCTCCTAAGGTTGCTACCACACAATCTCCACACCACTGCCACCACGGTTAAATGCACCAGTGACGTCGCTTACAAACAAAGCTTTAAATATATATATATATATATATATATATATATATATATATATATATATATATATATATATATATATATATATATATAGAGAGAGAGAGAGAGAGAGAGAGAGAGAGAGAGAGAGAGAGAGAGAGAGAGAGAGAGAGAGAGAGAGAGAGAGAGAGAGAGAGAGAGAGAGAGAGAGAGAGAGAGAGAGCCGACGTTGACCCTATAATGAACCAAGGTTTCTCAAACGTTGACCCGATGATGTTGCATCAATGTTAATCGAACTCTGACCAAAAATTGGATTACTAATTAATGTATGTGTATACAGCTAGTCTATTTAGACACATTGTATACAACATTGCATCGCCTCTTTTTCAGGTTCCTGCTGTTCCGATGTTATTATTTGATGTTTTTGTGTTCGTCTACGCAATTTGAGATAAACAACTTGAACCACACTCGCCAACGCTCCCCCCTAACTGCCACTCTTTCCGTCTGGCCTCTCCCATTGGTCTTTCCTTCTTAACGCAGCCCCGTACTAACACATCTGTATTGTGACAGCTGAAACTGGCACTCCCAGTATCCACCGTCCTCCTAACCGAACCTTCTTCCAATTCTGCTTCCCGTCCCTTGTGGGCTTGACCCCCTAGTTCCCTAATTCTCGACTCTTAGCCCCCAACTCTCGACTTCTACACTTTCCAGACACCTCTCTCTCTCTCCGCCCCTCCTTCTCCCGTCGAAGCTCCACCAGGCAGTCAGGCAACAGAGAGCGTAGAGCCAAGCTCTAGTGCCCCGCAAACGAGAGCTTGGGAGCTCCGTAACTCAGCAGTTAGATGTGTCACGTCCTCTTTTCTCACAGCAACAGCATGTACCGGAAACAGTTCGGTATATATTTAGTTTACGCCGCTGAGACCGTTGCTATGTCAGCAGGTCGGGAGAGGACATCACACATGCTCCAACGTGTGGGTTAACATGCTAGAGCGGCCAGACTTTAGCGAAGAAGCTGGAAATGCTTTGTTTCAAGGCTGTCGTGTTCGACAGTGTTTCCTGCGGCATTACTTACTATATTTTTATACACTCAGCAAATGAAAACATTCTTTCTAATGTCTCAGAGGCTCATTTAGGCACTTAATTCTCACTTTTTCGTGTACCACCTGAGCTAGTCTGCCCTATGAGAATTTTGCAGGTGGTAGTCATGTCTCCCCTCACTTCTATTTTCTAGTGACGAGAAGTTTATTTCCTAGCCTTTCTTCGTAGCACATACCTCTCAACTCTGGGACTAGTCTGGTAGCATACCTCTGAAGTTTCTCTAACTTCTTTTTGTATTTGACTAGATATGTACGCTATGTTGGAGCCGTGAACTCCAGGACACCTGTTTCTAGCATGATGATGGACTGTTTTTGACACTGAGCTTGTGGTTGTCTGTCTCTTTGGTCCCGCCTCTCAACCGTCAATCAACTGGTGTACAGGTTCCTGAGCCTACTGGGCTCTATCATATCTACATTTGAAACTGTGTATGGAGTCAGCCTCC